TGCTTGGTTTTCTTCGTAATTCTTTGTTTGAAAATGGGCAAGCAACGCACAAAGTATTCAAAAAAACGTAAGTTTAGCGGCAATCAGTTCACTACAACTTCAAGAAGCTTGAAAACAAGTGAAACGTCGACCGCAAGTTCAAGTGGTGAGTCATCTCAAAGTCATTTGCATGACAAGCTGACAACACGTGTTTGTCTGTTTTGGCTAGGAAAATTGGTGTCGTAGATAAAATTGTAAATTAAAATGTGCTTGTTCTTCAAATGAACATCAGTTGGGTGGTTATAGAATCATGATGTTGCCATTCTGGGAAAGATGTTTCAGTCAATGCCATTGTAAGGAATGTTTACAGTGCAAGGTACAGCTAGTTGAACATGATAGCTAGAGGATGGGGAATGCTTCTTGCTTCTCTGTCACATGTACTTCATGTGGCCATTCTGAAGAATTTTATTCTTCAAAAAAGATTGGTCACTATTACAAAGTCAATAGAAGAATGGTTTATGGCATGAGATCGATTGGCTGTAGCTTATCAGGAATGAAGAAATTCTGTTCGACAATGGATATGCCGCCACCAGTAAAACCAAGGGCATATAGTCGACACAAACAAAGCCATTCTACGGGCAACTAAAGATGTTGCTGAATCCACAATTCAAGATGCTGCTAAGGGACTTCATAGTTTAAAAACTGCTGAAGTTGATACTAATGCAGTTTTAAGACTGCTATTTCATGTGATGGTACATGGCAAAGACGAGGGTTTTCATCATTGCACGTTGCGTCACAGCAATCTCGATGGAAACAGGCAAGATTGTGGATGTGAAACCTTTAAGTAAAGTTTGCCACACATGCAAGGTTGATGTCTCTACTGAAGTCAAGAGGGTTGAGCATGCCTTAACGTGCAAGGCAAACTACAGTGGGTGGGCACCAGCTATGGAGTCTGAAGGTGCTACACGCATATTTAAACGGTCAGTGAGTTCTCACAAGCTCCAGTATGATGAACTGTTTGGTGATGGAGATAGCAAGAGTTTCAGTGCAGTTGAGAACATTTACAAGGAAGAGTCTGGTGTGGTGGTGCAAAAGAAGGAATGTGTTGGCCATGTGCAAAAACGCCTCGGAACTGCATTGAGGAAGTTGAAGAAAGAGAAGAAAGGATTGGGTGGGAAAGGAAAGCTTACAGATGCTATGATAGATAAAATGCAGAATTATTATGGCATTGCGATTACCAAATTGGAAATCTTGGGGCAATGAAAAAGAACTCTTGCTACAATATTTCATTGTGCATCAAACGACGACCATCCTTGGCCGACGACCATACTGTCCTTCTGGTGAAAAAAGTTGGTGCAGCTATATGCGTGACAAAGCACTCAACACTAAAACATACAAACATGGGAAAGGCTTGCCTCGTGATGTTACACACATCATCAAACCAGTGTATGCAACACTAAGCAATGAGGCACTATTGAAGAAATGCCTAGATGGGAAGACACAGAACCAAAATGAGGTGTTCAATGGCATGATATGGCAACGAGTTCCAAAAACAGTATTTGTTGGTTCTGATGTCTTCCAGATAGGTGTGTATGATGCTGTTGCACATTTCAACATTGGTGTATTTTGTTGCTCGTCCTCATCCGTACAACCAATCTAGATTTTGTTGCTACAACTGTTGTTGGGTTGGTCATTTTGCGCGAAACTGTCCGTATCCCAAATGACGGTTGACACTGCTCGAACACTCAGCGACTCATGGCATTTAAACGTACTTTCTTGAATTATTTTTAAATTATATGGCGATCTTCCTCCTATATCTACAATGTCAATATTTATATGCCATTGCGTGTAATAAAAATATAAACTATTACAGTGTTGATTCCTTTTGTTTCACAGGCAGAGCCGAGTTTCCACAATTTTGACGCTGATTTGCAACAAGCTTTACATACTGTGCATCACATTGAATGGTGTTCTTCCACGACTGAAAAAGCGGTCCCTAGGGGACCACTTCCCTAGGGACCGCTCCCTCCACTAGGATGGGTCGCTTTGGGCCGGGTGCTTCCCACTCCAGCTTAGCTTTCTTTCTGACATCCAGGCCATTTATTGTGTGGGAGGTCCATAAACACGCCCATTTTTGGAAACATATTCTACGCCACCACATCAAGCGCACTGAAATACACTCCTGTATCACCAATGGAGTTGATGTGCACTCCTTTTGGCGTCATTTCACTGGTACTTTTAACAAGAACTACGATTTTGCTCTCCCACCACCCACTATATTCCCTAACAATAGTTCATGTCGTTGATTTGAAGATTTCATCACGAACATGGTTCTTGAGCGGTTCTTCATCACGAACATGGGTCCTTACAAGTTGTAGGACACATAGGACAAGTGCAGCCTCCGCATCTAGTCATTTTTAGCTTCTTTACCATATCGAAGTCACTTCTCTCAGCTACGCCGGACGATTTAATCCGTTTTCTTATCAAGGATTACTGTCCCCTTTTTAGTATGACTGCGCGACAAACTACTTGTGATTGTCCCAGACGGTTAGCAGCGGCTACCGTATATAATAATATCGCCAAGTTACAAACTATTTTTCTTTCGACTGGTCAATCAGACACTGTGTCCATAGGTTCCAACGTCAGCAATCCTGCTGCACATCCTTCGGTGAAGCTGCACATCTTTCGGTGCAGCCGCGCCTTTCTTTTTCGATAAGTTCAAGTCTCTTTGTGCATATTTACGCCAACAAAGTTTGGCTACAGATAAACCACCCAAATCTCGCTACCTACTCACTCACGACCTTGCCTTTTCGCTCTAGTCTTTTATTCTCAGGATCGTGCCTCGGACCTGGGACGTGTCAAAACCAAGGAAATTCTTTCTTTGCCCAACAAGGAAAGACTCTTGTTTCGTCATACGTTCGGGAAAACACTCAGAGGGAACAATATCCATACGTTCGCGGTGCATACATGTGCTGACTCAGTGGTCTCCCCGGTTAAAAGCCTTTTCCTGTACGTGCATCTTTCGGACGCCATGGGAATCAATTTACGGGACGGTTATTTGTTTCTTATAACCTTATATCTTTCAGCCCACATGAATAACTGATCAATTTGAAACTGTGATAGACAATATTTTCTTTAATTCTATTGACCATGATGTAATAAGTGGGAATCTGATTTGTGACATTTCTGATCATCTCCAAAATTTTTTGTAAATCTATCATATGCCTATTTCACATTGCAGAACAGACAATTATACTCGAGATCATTCAAAGTTAAATGAAATTGCTCTATTTGATGAGACTAAAATGTTAGATTGGAGAGAAATTTTATCTCATTGCCATAATTCTGATGATATATTTAATACTTTTCATTCGATGATTTTAGATATAGTTGATAAGCATGTCTCTCTGTGAAAATTATCACGAAAGCAATTCAAACAGAAGAAAAAAAACCCTGGATTACAATTGGTATTAGAACTGCTATAAAAGAAAAAAATTAATTGTTTAAAAACTTTATTAGAACAAGATCAAGTGAAGTCTTAACAAAATTGAAGTTATATAGGAATAAACTAAATAATTTAATTAAAGTATCTAAACGAAATTACTAAAAAAACTATTTTACAAATAACCAGAACAATACAAAAAAAAATGGCAAGGCAACAAATTATAACTAGTAAGTCAAAAAGAATTCAACCACCCCAAAAAATAACAGTAGATGGTATTGAAATAACTGATATCACAAAAATAGCAAATAAATTTAATTTTTTTTTTGCAATATTGGGACCAATTTGGCTAATAACGACAAAGTAATACTACCCCATTGCAATATCTTCCTTCTAAATTGGCAAATTCTTTTTATCTTTTTTCTGTATCAGAATCAGATATAGTGGATAAAATTTCAAATCTAGATGAAAGCAAGGCCACTGGGCCATTTAGTATTCCCACAAAAATTTTAAAGCTCTTAAAGGTCTTGATTACTAAACCACTGGAGATTTTATTTAATTTTTCTTTTTCCTCAGGTACGGTACCATGTCAATTTAAACTAGCTAGAGTACTCCCCGTCTTCAAAAAGGGGACTCAATGTCTGTGTGAAAATTATCGACCAATTTCTTTATTAAGTATTTTTAATAGATTCCTAGAAAGGTTAATGTACAAAAGATTAATTAGTTACATTGAGAAGTTTAATATTCTTTATAGCAAACAGTTTGGGTTTCGAGAATGCCATTCTACAGAACATTCTATTTTATCCATAATAGATAAAATTGAACATGCAGTCGAGGATGGAAAATTCTCATGGGGTATTTTTTTAGATATAAGTAAAGCATTTGATACTGTAAACCATTCAATCTTATTTAAAAAACTTGAGCACTATGGCATATGTGGAGTCGCGTATGACTGGTTCGTTTCTTACCTAACTGAACGTAAACAATTTGTTTCAATTGGTCGGAAATGTTCAAGTCATCTTACTAATCCATGAGGAGTTCCTAAAGGTTCTGTTCTCGGACTTTTATTGTTTTTATTGTATATTAATGACATTAGTCAATGCTCTAAAATCTGGGGGTTATCATTGATAGACATCTCAAATGGAAAGAACATGTTTGTAGAGACATGAAGTGTTCGGCGAGTATCGCGGGCGCGAACAGTACGGAGTAAGAACGTTTTTTGATTTTGAAAGTGTAAGATAGAGATTTTATGATAGCACGTTTTGAGTTATTTCTATTCGCGAAAACGAATAACTTTGAATCTAGCGCGTAGCGCTGAATTGAGTTGGATCAAATAAAACATTCAAAGGTTAAGAGTTTAAGAGTCGTAGTTAAAGTCTACATCATTCAAAGTTATTATACGATAAAGCGAAGACGAAGTTGTTTCGAATCGAAAGGATTGCGAAAGAAGAAGATTGCAGTATTTGTGAACGAAAGGTGTTCAAGGTGCTACAGTATATGAGTGTGTCTAACGATTACAAAGCTAAAAGATATGAATTATTCACGAGTTAAATTCGAAAGTCAGGATTGAACTGTTACTATGGCAACAAGCGAAAAGAGTGTTCAGGAAATTCAAGTGGAAGCACGATTAAGCGAGGGACAGTCAGAGGGTGGTGGAGAAAGGACAGTAACTGCCACCGACGTAGAGCAAGAAAGGAATAAATCGCTGGAAGAATTTAAGAAGGAACTAAGTGTAATACAACAACTCACGAGAGATCTTAAGACAGAATCAAGGCAAGTAGAAGCAAGCAAGGCCAAATACGAAGATGCATTTCATAAATTCGTCATTAGTCACGAGCGGTATATAGAACAAGAGAGTGATCAAGGGAAACGAAACTTGATGACGGATAGTTACAACAACCAGAGAGACCTCAAGCTGCAAATAGATTGTGTAATTAGCATGTGGGAGATAAATAAGGAACGGTTTGCAGCACCACCTTCTGAATTCAATCTCAGTGTAGCCTCTCGGATGAGTAGAAGGAGCAAAGCATCATCAAGCCGAAGTAGTGCGAAGGAAAGGAGAAAGGCGATAGAAGAGGTAAAACTGAAGATGGAAGCCATGAAGAAAAAACACGAGTTGGAACGTCAACTCGAAGTGACAGAACAGGCTAAGGTTGAGCTAAATAGGAAGCTAAATTTGCTCGCTGCAGAGACAGAACTCAAGCAGGTAGAGATGGACTTCGTGATTGATCAAGTACCTGAAGATGAAGGAATGGACGGAATGAATGCATACCTCCAAGATCACCAGATGAAGAAAAACGTAACTAAATCAGAGGTGCTTCCACAAGGTGAGAATAATCCCGCTCATGAAAATCCAGTCGCTCTTGACCCATCTACGAAAGAATTCATACCCCAACCTCAGCCACAGGAAATCGTGATCCCACAAGAACAACAGCTCCAACCGACGCTTGCACAAACTGAAGCATGGAATTCTATTGCACAGGCAATAAGAGAGGGACCCTCTCTCCCAAAAATTGAGCTTTTAAAGTTTAGCGGTGACCCATTGGAATATGCGGAGTTCACATCAAACTTCAAAGACAACATTGAAGCCCAGGTTCTCGATGAAGGACAAAGATTCACTCGTCTATTGGCACAATGTGTCGGCAAAGCTAGAGAGGCGATTCGCAGTTGTGTGAATCTTGAAGCTGGTACAAGGTACAAAGAAGCTAAAGAGTGCCTTCTGCGCAACTTTGGCAAGTCTCACATGATCGTTGAAGCCCACCTAGAGAAGATAAAAGGACTGCAAATTAGAAAAGCTGATGCAAGCGCATTAATGGAATTTGTTCGTCACTTGGAAGATAGCGAGAGAACTCTGAAGAGCATGGGTTCCAATTACTCTAACAGGCTCGATAACGAGGACATCATTATCATGTTGATGAGGAAATTACCGGAGGAAAACTTGAAGAGAAAATGGGCTGACAAAGCAGGAGACCTGATCCAAACAAAGGGCATCGCACAATTTAATGACTTTGTTCAATTCCTGAAGAGTGTTGCTGAGCGTAGAAATAATAGATATGGAAGAGAACTCAAGTCAGAGAAAGACGTTAAGAACTATCAGGGTAATCTAAAGTCGGGGCAAACAAAGGGAATCCATGTGTATGCAACCCAGAATGAAGAAAGAGGCATCCGAAGAGGGAATAGGACATGTAAACAATGTTCTGGTCAACATGGAATCTGGAGATGCTTGGAGTTCAAAGCGTTGTCCTTTAAGGACAAATTGAAAGTGATCAATCAAAAAAAGCTGTGCAGATTGTGTCTTGGCGAAGGTCACTTCGCTAGAGCATGTAGGAGTGGTTTTACCTGCCGCATTCCTGGATGTGGAAAACCTCACCATCAACTGATACATCCCAACACCGAAGAAGAAAAGGATCCCCCTAATAAAGAAGATGTGACCAAGACCGACCCTGCCAAGATTGACCAGAAACCCCCAGAGGGCCAAGATGCCTCCAGACAGATACAATCGAGCTCAGCTGCAAACGTCAGCGCGATTCGAACTAGTCGACCAAGAGTTTGCTTTAAAGTGGTGCCAGTAAAGGTTCGGAGTGTAACAGGTGATACCGAACTTATCACGCATGCATTCTTAGATAGTGGTTCAGATACCACACTCTGCCTGGAGAGTTTGATCCACCAACTCGGCATTCATGACGCCAAGTCAGCAGAATACACCATGACGACTGTGAACTCTCAACAAAAGAAATCTGGATACGAGATACAGCTTGATGTGAAGTCAGTGACCGGCAACGAGACCTTCCGGCTTGAAAGAGTTCTAACCACTGATCGTTTACCAGTAAATACAAGTCACATCGCAACCAATGAAGAAGTCCGAGAGTGGCCACATCTCCAAGACGTTACCTTGCCCGAGACAGGAGACAAGCAAGTCACTATCCTGATAGGGGGTGATAGACCGGACATTATTGATAATTATCTTGAAAGAAGAGACGGCCAAAGAGGACAACCTTGCGCTGTGAGGACGCCATTAGGGTGGACGGTTTTCGGTCCGATTGGTTCGCAAGGAGACGAGAAGGTCTCAATTAACTATTCACGTTCTGAATACGAAGTCCTAGAGCAGAAGTTAGAGCGGATGTACAACGTGGAATTCAATGATCTGAGTGATGACGTCGAAGAAAACCCGTCCTTTCAGGATCGACAAGCACAAGAAATGATGGTTGAAACGACAGTTCTGAAAAACGGGCATTATCAAGTCGGTCTACCTTTCAAACATAACACTCCACACTTCACGAATAGCCTTCCCACAGCAGAAAGAAGATTAAGTTGCCTGAAATCAAGGATGGAAAGAGACGAGAACTTCCGAAAGAAATACAGTACTGTTATGAACAAGTACCAAGAAGAAGGAGCGGCTAGAGTAGTCCCCGAAGAAGAGTTATCAAAGCTACAGCCCTTATGGTATTTGCCGCACCATGCGGTATGGCATCCAAGGAAACCGGGAGAGCCTAGAGTGGTTTTCGATTGCGCGAGCAAAACAGAAGGAACTTCACTGAATGACGAACTATTGCGAGGACCAGAGAATACGAGTACGCTTATCGGGGTGATGCTTAGATTCAGAGTCGAAACTGTGGCGGTAACGGCAGACATTAAAAGAATGTTTCACCAAGTTCACGTGATTCCAGAACATCGCGGTGCGCTCTGTTTCTTATGGTGGCCGGATGGTGACATCACCAAAGCAGCAAAAACGTACCAAATGCTAGTACATCTTTTTGGCGCCAAGTCATCCCCCAGCGTCGCGGGATACGCCCTTAGAAGAACCGCCAAAGATAATGCTGAAGATCATCCCCCTGAAGTGATTGACGCCGTCCTCCGTGATTTTTATGTGGACGACCTCCTGAAGTCGTTTACAACCCCGGACATAGCGGTATCAGTAAGCAAGCAACTAGAGAATCTGTTGGGAAAAGGTGGCTTCGAACTTACCAAGTGGAATTCGAACTCACGCGAAGTGCTGGAACAATTCCCACCTGAATCTCGAGCTCCTGTAGTCAAAGATTTGAATTTGGAATCGGAAGAAGCCTTGCCCGTAGATCACGCTCTCGGTCTTAGATGGGACGTTCAAAGGGACACTATTGTCCTTGTCGCTAGTAACAAGAAGGAGCCTAGCAATCGGAAAGGTGTTTTATCATCGATAGCAACGATCTATGATCCCTTGGGCTTTGCCAGTCCTCTGATCTTGCCCGGTAGAGAAATAAATCAAGAGTTATGCAGATTGAAGCTTGATTGGAATTGCGAACTCCCAACGGAACTGCATAAACGTTGGATCACGTGGAAAGAAGATATGGCGAGTCTCGATAGATATGAGTTGGAACGATGTTTCAAACCAAAGGATTTCGGAAAGCTTAGGGAAGTCGAATTGCATCACTTCTCGGACGCATCACAGGAACATGGATACGGAACAGTGTCTTATTTGCGCCTAGTTAACGACGCTGGAAGAGTACATTGCAGCTTCGTCATGGGCAAAGCGAAGGTCAAACCCCTAAAGAAGGCAGTCACGGTTCCGAAGTTAGAGCTTACAGCAGCAGCATTGGCAACGCGAGTAAACAGAATCATCGTCAAAGAGTTGAAAGGGCGACTCGACCTTGACAGAGTTCTATACTGGACGGACTCGATGATCGTCCTCAGATACATAGCAAACGAGTCCCGACGCTTCGTCACCTTCGTTGCCAACCGCGTCGCAGCCATCCGCGAAGAGTCTAAGCCAGAACAGTGGCGTCATGTCAAATCAGAGCTTAATCCAGCCGATTACGCCTCCAGAGGCATCAGAGCTTCCGAAGAAGAAAAACTGGAGCGATGGCGACTCGGACCAGAGTTTTTATGGAAGTCGAAAGAAGAGTGGCCAGTCCAACCTCGCGACCTTGCGGAAAGCCTCGACGCTGACGCCGAAGGAGTGAAGAAGGAAAAGATCGTTATTGCGGGAACTGCGATATCAGTCGAATTTTGGAACTCACTGTTTCGTCGATACTCCTCATGGGAAAAGCTTAGAAGAACAGTAGCTTGGTTGATCAGAGTTTGTCGTGTTTGGAGAGCAGTATCTAAGAAAGAACGCTATCGGGATGGTGAGATCCAGACTAGACCATTCTTATCTGTTAAGGAGTTGAAAGAAGCTGAAGAAAAAATTGTCGAGAATGTTCAGAAAGAATCCTTTGACGAAAAGGTGGCAACGAATAAAAGGAGTGGCCTCGCCAAACTCAAACCATTTAAAGAAAAAGATCTAATACGGTTGGGAGGAAGACTGGATCGATCGAATCTAAGCTATGATGCCAAGCACCCGTGTATACTTCCCAAGAACCACCCAGTTTCAGAGCTGATCATATTGCACTATCACCGTCTCAACGGTCATGTAGGATGTCATCAAACTTTAGCAAAAACGAGAGAACATTTCTGGATAACTAATGGAGCTTCGTACGTAAAGCGAGTACTCAAGAATTGCCAAGTATGCAAACGAGAGAATGCAAGTGTCGGAGAACAAGTGATGGCGCCGTTGCCTAGCGTAAGAGTGTCGAATGACGATGTCGGCGTCGCTTATCCGTTCGAATCGGTGGGTGTAGATTTCTTCGGCCCATTGTACGTCAAGCTTGGTCCGAGAACCAGATCGAAAAAGAGCGAATCGTTAGGGAAACGTTACGGTTGCATCTTCACGTGTTTGAAGTATAGAGCGGTGCACATCGAAATAACAGAAGACCTGTCTGCCGATAGCTTCATCAACGCTGTCTTGCGCTTCATTGGTCGAAGAGGAGCCCCACGCATCATTTGTAGTGACAACGGCACGAATTTTAAAGGTGCAGAGAAAGATCTACTCCAAGCGTTGAAAGAATGGGACCAACAAAGAATACAAGGTTCGTTATCGAGAAGGAATATTGAGTGGAAGTTCAACCCTCCCGCTGCGAGCCATCAGGGAGGTGTTTGGGAACGTCTGATACGTTCTACTAAGAAGATCCTCCGTTCATTGGTTGGAAACCGTGAATTAAACGATGAGAGCCTGAGAACGTTTATGGTAGAAGCAGAGAAAATAATGAACGACAGACCTATTACGCCAGTATCCAGTGACCCAAATGATCTCGAAGCTTTGACGCCAAACCATATACTATTGCTTCGTAAGAATTCCTCCACGTCAGCGGGAAAGTTTGGAGATCTAGACGGTTACAACGCAAGATGGAAATATATTCAGATGTTAGCCGACAGTTTCTGGAAAAGATGGGTAAGCGAATACTTGCCGACCTTACAACAAACTCAGAAATGGTTACAGAAAACGCCTAATCATAATGTCGGGGACCTAGTGATGCTGGTGAATAAAGACGTCCCTCGAGGTCAATGGCCAAAGGGATTGATCACGGAAGTCTTTCCAGACGTCGATGGAATTGTGCGACGAGTCACGATCCGGACAGCAGACGGCATTTATCAAAGAGACATCAGAAAGATATGCCTACTAGAGAAGAAACTTCTAGACGAATAGATGTAAAGGTTAACTGGAACGTTTGATTAGTTTATACATTATGATGTTAATATTTGTTAAGAAAGACTCCTCCGTCGCTTTCCGAGGTGGAGCGTGTAGAGACATGAAGTGTTCGGCGAGTATCGCGGGCGCGAACAGTACGGAGTAAGAACGTTTTTTGATTTTGAAAGTGTAAGATAGAGATTTTATGATAGCACGTTTTGAGTTATTTCTATTCGCGAAAACGAATAACTTTGAATCTAGCGCGTAGCGCTGAATTGAGTTAGATCAAATAAAACATTCAAAGGTTAAGAGTTTAAGAGTCGTAGTTAAAGTCTACAATGTTAATTATTTAACGAAAAAGATTTTTATAAATGTTGGACTACTTTCGAAAGTAAGATATTTTGTTGATCAAGCAACTCTTGTTAGTTTATATTATGCTCTAGTTCATCCTTATTTCACTTACTCTTTAATCTCTTGGGGACATACTTATGAGACAATTATCCTTTAATTATCCTTTAATTTTACTGCCAAACTTGCTGAAATTTCCCATTTTTTTGTAAGAAAACTTTTTATTAAATAAAAAATTTGCGTAACCAAACTTGTTTTCGAGTAAAATGCGTAAATAGATAAAATGACGGCCATATTGAATCGCCATTTTTACCATAACAACGGTAATGACGTGATGCTCAAAGACAATTTTCGAATGTTAGAATGTTCGTTTACGAAGAAATTTTGTCTAGGAAGATATTTCCTGCCAAAAATTACAATCTTAAATCATTAGTTTTCAATATTCTTAAAACTGTAGGGAGCCACCTTAACTGTGCCTTACGCTTTGCACTTCGTCGAAAGTGATAGTACGTATCAATTACAAAATCTTCAACATTGACTGACAATTCTTTTGCTCCCTTTCCAGCACATAAATGGGCTAAGTGACAGGGGCATCCAATGTCAAAAACCTTTTGGTCACTCTGAGAGTCTTATTTTCTTCAGGAGATTGTTGTGTGCTCCAACCATTGAGTTTGTGTTGTCCGACGAATTGTTCCAATCCAATGAGAAGTCATCTATTACTTCATTGCAAACATTATACATCTTTTGAGCTGTAGACCCACTGTTGATATTTGTCATATCAAGCAATGAGGTCTCAATTAAACCAGAGGTTTTTCCAACATGTCTAACCAAAATTGGTAAAAATTTATCATCCTCATCACTGCTTCCATCTGTAGCTAAACCATACCACTGGTTTGATGACAATTCTTCCTTCAAATCATCAGTAAGGTGCTTTGCGACTGATCCAGTAAGCATATGAGACATTTTAGTGCGACCAGCATTATCATTTCCCAGCATGATCTGTGGTGGCTAAAGGAAGGTTGTGTTCAACTGAGAACCCTGCAAAAAGTAACTCAGCCTTGGTTATCTTTTGGTCCAAATCTGAAGTTGCTGCACTTGCTCCCCAATCAGTTAACTTTCTTTGCTTTTGCCTTTCTTTTCTTTTGCAAAGATTCAACGCACTCCTTGTGCTTTGGAGTTGTGGCATGTCTTTTAATGTCATTTTTTCCTCATGTGCAATACTAAAATCACATCTACAGACAGAACATGAAGCAAAGTTCTCACCTTTAAAAGATTTTCTGATAAAGTTAAACTTTTCGATCCATAAGTCTTTGAATTTAACAAAATATTTCTTCCTTTTTTGGAACTGGTTGAGTTGACTCCGCCATCTGTCTTGATTTTAGAGTTTCCACGTGACGTGACGAACTTTATTATCCTCTTATGTCCCTTGCAAGCAGGGAAAATCCCTATAAGTACCTTTCGCATCCTTGAGCTATATATTTATTGCCAACAATATGGCAGATTTCGAAACGAATGCTTTGCACATTCAAATAAAATAAAACTTTTTAGTTAATATGAATTTAAAATTAGCATGCTGTAAACAAATTGGGAGTTTTACGTAATTTTTCAAAATAGTGTGGGAGGTAAAATTGAGCAACAAAAGCGGGAGTCTCCCGCACAAATCAGGGGAGTTGTCATGTCTGTTGAATGCAGAACAAGTGAACATTACTTGGGCATATATTTCTAAATAATATATTATTTTATTGTTGTTGATTGTACCTAGCAAGTAAACATTAACTTGGGTATTTTGGCTGAACATCACAAGTGAGCATTACTGTAATTGTTGTTAGATATTTGACTGTTACAAGAGTACTCTAAATGTTTTTATACTTGCCACTTGGGAAATTGTTGTGTTAATTTTAAAAATTAGTTATTTGTGCGAGTATCTCTTCCAGGGTTCGAAATAACGCTCTAATAATATGTCTAATTTGTAATGTAAGTGAAAATTTTTGCCGGCTGTTTTCCAAAAACTGTTTTTCCGGCTGTGTGTCTACTTATCTGGTGCTCAGTTCATTTTGGATATCTTTTCACTATAAACACTACAGTACTATATAGTTTAGTTGGAATCACCACCAGTTACGGTCACTCAGAGTTGAGACTAGAGTCACTGTTTCTCATTCCGCCCAGGAGAGGGTCTTCGCGATAATAATCACAGTCTTGGAAACTGTCCGACAACTCCAACTGAGCAGATTGAACTGGTGGGATTTCTTGACTCGGTCCTGGGGAATCTTCCTCTGACACATCAGATTCCATATCCTGTTCATTTTCCCCACTCTTTCTCCGCACTCAGCTCCAACGTCTTTCAACCAATCTCTTAAGAATTCTTCCCTCTCTGTCTCCCTTGTCCTCTTTGATGCGCTTTCTCTTGCAGCATACTGCTTTCCTTTCCCTTGGTTCTTCCTTCGCAATTTTTTCATTATTTCAGATGTCCACAGCAAGCTCACCAAAACTCTCACGGAAAACGTGCAGTGTTGGACCAATCACTTCAATGCGCATTAAATCAGTCAGGTTGCATTCGTTCAACCAGTTGCGCCAGTCAGTCTTGACTACTTGCAAGTACAAATAAATGACTTCCTCCTAGTATCTCCTCAAGCTTTATCTTCCAGAGCCTTGGCCACAGATTAATGGAGTCAATAACAGCTATGTTAAAGTATGCGGTTGCCCACTGCACTAACATAACATACTGCTCCTGCAAAAGTTCTTTGCTGATCTGTCGTAGTGGGTCGACATCTTTGAAGCTTTCGAAAACATTGGAGATTGCTTCCATTTGTACCGACAGCTTGTCCTCAGTGGCGTCTTCCATCCAAACGCGAGTATTCAAGAGCTTGGCGATGCTGTGTGCTACTTCATCTGCGTCCTTTGTTTCTTTGGGCGATGCGCAAAGTTATTTGGTGACAAGGCGCTACAAATGCACAACTTGCGTTAGTATGTAAGATGAAGTACCAATGAAGCCGCTATAAACATAAAAAACGCGGGCAACTTGAAAAAAAAACAACGAAAAAAAAACATCTTGACTTTTAATTTCACCACTGAATTTTCGCAACTGCACAGCAGCATGATGAGCAAAGGAAGAATACAAAGCAAAGTCGATGTCATGATGTTAAATATATAACTGTTAACTATATGTTCGTGTTATTGTAATGGAGTCATCGGTGAATAAATATTTTCGCTGATCGCCTATGCTTTGAAATAAGAAATCGCCAGTAAGGTCCTGAAACTGCGAAGGTCCCGACGGCTATTTCGAACCCTGCTTTTCTCCCTTCATGATCATGTTCATGATCATGTTCATGATCAATATACAATAGCAATGATTTCGCATAAATGTGAAGAGACCCATTTACAAATCGATATTTTGACTACATACACAAATACATTCGAGTTCATGATCAATATGCAATAGCAATGATGGCAAGAAATGTGAGTTGTGTAACGTTCCTTCAGTTTGCATAAATTTTGCATAAATTTACGCAGACAGACAGACATTTACAAATCGAGATTTTGACTACATACACAAATACATACATCGCGCTGAAGACTGGGTCTATTGAACTCTGGCGAAAAGTTAGCCTACCCTGCCAGGAATAGGAAGCTGCCTTCGGCAGCAACAAGATTCCCGTCATTGATGTATTATTTATTGTCAATGAATCCTTGGAGTATACATCTGTGCCAAATCTTTTTTATTATTTCTCCACCTGTAAATACTTGATTATGGTATTTTTAAAATCGCAGTACGGTATGAATGTACAATCTTCCACAGGTAATATGCGCACCAGAAATCTTTTACTTTTCTTGCGCCTTCAAGGCCAGTTTCTCTTATAAACTTTCGCCATAAAACAAGAAATAAATAGAAAAAGAAAGTTTGATTTGTGGAATACATGTATTACCAAGTAAAAGTATGTAGGTAAGAATTTTCTTATGAAATATGAAGCCACATGTACCGTGATGATAATTTCATTTTCCAACAGTGCATGACGATAGCCATTGCTGTGCTTTTTGCAGTTACTTGTTCAGTTGGTGCATTTATCAGCATTTCATAACCGGCAATTCCTAGAAGCTGAATAAAATGAAAATCTCAATATTTTACAAATTATAACATATTCATCAAATTTGCAAACACCTTTTCACATTCATTGTGTAGAGATGCCTACACAACTTAGACAATTGGCCGTTCAAGTTGTTCAGTGTTCATGAGTATGGTTTGTTTACATTACATTATTTCTCAAACAACATTTATTTAATGGTGGCATTATAACTTGTCAAAAGTGAATTGGGAAGTACAGCATATTAACTTTCTTCAGACTTTAGTGTTTAAAAATAATAAATTTAAACAACAAGCTATGGTGGTAGCCTGTATGCCTCAAAGGAGCACAATCGGTAATTAATCAATCGGTACTAACTCTCCTGACAAAGCTAGGCACGTACGCATGTATTCTAAAACCTCACTCACACTCAAACTCATTGAGTGTGAGATCTTAATCTTCTCATAACGTTTGAATGGCGGTATTTCCAGCCGAATAGGGGCTTGATTTCCAGTGATTTACCTTATATCTTTCCATCTATTCAGAGAAAACTTTCTCATTGATCAATATTAACAAAATTTATATGTCACACTCAGTGAGTGTGAGTGAGGT